GCAAACATAATCTCTTCTTTCTAATTTCAGGAATTTCCACTATAATTATGGTAGATAAATATGGTTCTCTGTGCAGAATGTCCCTAAGACCAAGATGAGGAAAGAAAAGAAAGAACTTTCTAAAAAGATGAGTAGACTAAGGAGGATATGAAAAATCTCCCATCTCTGTAGTCTCTATTATTCTGAATTTACCATACAAGAAGTAACAAATGTACAAATATTTATAAAGAAGCTGCTATGTTGTTAAGAGCTGAAGTTACAAGGATAATGAAGTGATAAACCAGCCCTTAGAGGGCTCATGATCTCATCAGGAAAAAACAGAATCAACAACGTAGTGAGATACTACTGAAAAGAAGGCATGGACAAAGTGGAGAAAGCACTGAAAGACATGATTTTTGGGAGAAGACTGAGTTATAAGGCAGGGAACACCGTTTTTAGTGAAGGTGCTCTACAGAGGCTGCATATGAACTGACTCTGGGGACAATCAAGGCTTTCCCAACAGGAAAAGAAGCTTCAGTATTCTTTAGAAAGTAGGAGGACCATCAGCCCAGTCCAGGAAGCACAATGGCACAGAGTATGTTCTAGAAACTTTAAGTAATCCCCTCCAAGAATAAAAATTGCCAGTAATGACAAACGTTTATAGAACATGACAAAATAATTTGATGGCATGTTCTATAAAAGTTACAGATAATCAAATTTAATGATGAAAGGTGTGGACTTAGATTTTGTAGTCTTTTTAAAAACTTCTAATCTGTCATAGAAGCTTTTTTAAAAGACAATATAAGTGGGTTACTAAAGAAAATAAAATGGAAACAGACAAATTATTGGCCTTTACTGCAGATATTTTGAGAACCACTAGCTTGGAGGATGGTCTACAAGATGGCAGGTGGGGAGGGGGTGCAGAGACGGGCAGCAACAGCAGGAGACAAAGTTTCAAGCTAGAAGCTTACATAGACTTTACTGTGAACAATTTTTTAATAAATAAATGCAAAAAGGAAGCAAACGAGGTTTGAAAATTACTCATATACCTCTAATCCAGAATGAAGAAGATCTAAATAAAATGCATAAGCTCTGATGTTAGAATCAAACAATTTTCAGATATGCAAACCGCAGGCCACACTGTTGAAGGGCAAATGTAGCAGAGAATTAAGGAGACTATCAGGTTCACAACAGTTAATTTCAGTGAAAAAAGACCTGAAGAAGAGAAAGTAAGAAGAGAAAGTGTATTGACAGTTTGATCAACACTTTTAAAATTATTTGGATTACTTCACTTGAAACCTTTCATGGAAGAGAAAAAAAATTCTGAGTTGATATGGAGGCTTAGAATACAGGAATTTTGTAAAATCTAAGTTGATATGGAGGCTTCGCATAGAGCGACTTTATAAAATCCGAGTTGATATGGAGGCTCAGTCTAGTACGGATCTTCCTCTCCAAACAACGTAAGTTATATCAATTAAGATACTGAGTAAAAGACTTAAAGAAAAGTCAATTCTTTAAAGATATCAAATTAAAAAAAAAAAAGTTAATTGTATTAATGTTTCCCACAGTAACAGTAAGCTAGGATTAAGGAAGGTCTATTACTTTTCCGTGTTTGTTATGCTATTGCAGTTGCTGCATGATGTTTGATCAGACAAGTAACACAAGCAAGCTGGAGTTTCAGGAAGACCTGGTGGCCGTGAAAGACTGGAGCAAGGACGTCAGTGAAGAGGCCAGCACAAGAGCTCCAGATGAGAAATGGTAAGACTCTGAAGTAAGATGGTTGGCTGTAAGAAAGGGAATTAAGAGTGGATGGAAGCAATGCTGGAAACTAATAATGATACATTTGAGCCAAGCATACAGATTTTCTTACCAGGGTTATCCACAAGGCCAGGAAAACACTAGTGAGAAGGACAAATTGGTTTACGGCAATTAATTCCAACTAAGACAACTTACCCACACTATAAATTGATCTTTGTTTCACCAGTATCATGTTCCTACTAAAAATCTGGTGTGAAAGTTTAAACACATTTTACAAAGACTTATTTCTTAAACAAATTTAAAAAAATGACTTTGAGGAATATTTTATGAAGTTGGAAAGGCATTTCATGTACACAATTAGCCTACTTTACCAACCTTGTAACCCAACTCATCAGTACTGGCCCTTTTTTAAAAACAATTTTATATACATACTTTATGTCTGACGTGAAAGTTTTAAACTCAAGACATCTATTCTACTAAAATAGTTGTCAAAAATTTAATCAAACTAGAAAAAAAGTACAGTAGAGAACTCTTCCTAGTGGAAAATCGTGACATATAACAATAAAAATTCCGTTAGAGAAAATAGTACATTCAAGTGTTTAAGCTAAATTGATTTACAGTCATTCAGTTAACACTACCCAAGATATTCCCTGTTTTGGTATCAGCAATTTCTATCAAAATTAGCTAATAAATGCTAGACACTGAGATAAACAGCACAGAAAGTACATAAAGTCCTATAAAATATAATAAAGGGTGAATTAATTTTGTTAGTTACTCCATATGATGATTGTATCTCTTTCAAAAGAAGGAGCTAACAAAAGGGCAAGAGAAACATGGCCTAAGACACTAAAAGGTTTTTGAAACACTTCATTCTTTATTTAGTTTGCAATATTCAATTAATTACATTCTTTTTCCTCCCAACCCTTATCTTTGAGCTTTCAGCCAAAAAAAATTACTATACTTACAAATATAACATGAGTGTTTTGCAGGGTATGACAAACTATAGTAAAAACCTCATAAAACATTAGTTTAGAATCCTCAACTTGTCAAATACTCATCTCCTGAGATATACCAGATCCTCCTTTTGGAGAGACAGTCCACTGGGTTAATGAAAGGCTTATTGAAAAAGACATTCTATACTTTGAACCAACATCTCTCAAGCTTATTTGACCATATAAGCTTGGTCTGTTCGTTCAAAAGGAAAACCTATTTAAAATAACACATTTCAGAAAAAACACATTTGACATAATCTTTAAAATCTAAAAACATTTAAAAATATGTGAAAGGAATATAGAAAATCACTACTAGTAATTTGCTTGTATACATTTTTAGTTTTCAAAGTTGTTCGCCATACATTATAATGTCTTTTTTTTTTTTTTGAGACGGAGTCTTTCTCTGTCGCCCAGGCTGGAGTACAGTGGCACAATCTTGGCTCACTGCAACCCCAACTGCTGAGTTAAGCGATTCCCCTGCCTCAGCCTCCTGAGTAACTGGGACTACAGGTGCGCACCACCATGCCTGGCTAATATTTGTATTTTTAGTAGAGACAGGGTTTCACCATATTGGTCAGGCTGGTCTTGAACTCCTGACCTCATGATCTGCCCACCTCAGCCTCCCAAAGTGCGGGGATTACAGGCATGAGCCACCATGCCTGGCCGTCTTTATTTTTTAATCTGGAAGAAAAACCTAAATTTGACAATTTTCTAAGAACAACTCATTGGCTGTGTATATTTACCAGACGGCTACCTATAATTTACTCATCCAACTCTTAGTTGGATCCAGTGAGCATTGCTTATCCTTCTGGTTACGTGGTAAAACAAAGGTGTTGAAAATTAAGAACAACAACAAACCAATTATATCTTGCGGGGGGGGTGGTCACAGGAATATGCATGATTATAATGTTAATTTTAACAAAATTAGAAGTTCAGAAGCGGGGTTCAATATCAACTGTTGCATCAAATGTAAAAGCAGATTTCAGACTACCAACCAGTGATTAACACCTAATTATATCTGAGTAACAATTTTAGTATTTACAAATAATTGCCCCGTTGATTTTAAATTCCAATTTAGAGGTGAAACAATATATGAATACATGAAAAGTGACTTGCAACCAAATAATTATTAGTAATTTTATGCAGTCTTTTAAAAAATAATGTTTTAAAGATTTTCTTGATGAAATTACAAGAAAAGCTAAGCATTTAAGTGGGTGATTAAAATAACTTCATTACTAGGTTTTCTGAACATTATCAGAATAGTGAAGACAAAGCAGTTAGGATTATCCTTGGGACAACCATATGAGGCCTACAGGTAAAGAGCAAATTTGGCTCAAAGTTGCCGTTCCATTTTGGAAACACTGTGGTCAGCTAAAACATAGTGAATTTCAGCACACTGTATCTGCTCCCTCTCTCTGACTAGTTTTTCAGTTAGCTAGATGAAACTGAACTATTCACAACTGATTATGAGAACAATAATCAATCATTATGCCTTCATCTAGTTCACTTGGATTTCTCCTTCCCAGAAATAAGCAGCATAAGGTCCAAGAGCTTAAGACATGACAAATTCATTTAGGTTGTAGCTATACTAGAAAACAGGAGTGTTAATCCAAGTAGAATTAACCACTCACTCATCGTCTTTTTTGTTGCTCTGCCCACCTACTTGTGTTAATTTAATCCAATTACTTTATCATTTCTCAGAAATGCTAATAATGCTCTTTCTTTTGTAAGAGGAATTTTACATAATTCCAAAAGTAATCACTGGCCTCTACTATAATAAACACACAGTAATCAAACATGCTTTCTATCTTTCCTCGAAACAGTAATTAACTTTTTATCTGAAATCAGGGATTGCTGTTTTAGGATTTGTATTAACTGTCCATTTTCTCTAGTTTTTGATCAATCAAATTAAGTATTATCAACAAAAATACTATTTCTTCTTTCAAGCTTCCCAGTTCCTCTCTCTAGAAGTAATCTACACACTGAATTCTCAAGAATATTTTTCTCAATTTCTCTTACGGCATTTAACCTCTTTTACTGTTTGATTACATTATTTATCTACATTTATTCTTTCCATATAAGTTCCTTAAAGGAAGGACTGTACCTCATTCATTTTTTAAACCACATTGCCTGATGAAATAACTTGCACAGATGAAGCAGATAATACACATTTTGAATTAGAAGCTAATTTATACCTGAGAAAGAACTGTCTGAAATACATTAAAGTCATAATGATTAAGCCTTAAGAACTCAGGAAAAAAATATTCTCACCGTCTGTCTCCAAGCTCTGAGCCTCTGCTTTCTGAGAAAGAAAACTGAGAAGGCTGTTGAAAAGTAGCCCTGATGTCATCCGGAGTCTTCAGATTCCCCGTTCTCCTTCAGTCAAGTATGCATCTTAACAAGAGGGAAAAGATAGTTTGGCATCTATTCCAAACCAGATTCTGGAACACCTTTTGATAAAGTTCAAGTTAGCCCATTACCTTTTCTTGTTCAAGTTCGATGCAAAAGTAGTCATTTGACAGAAAATATCAATTGTTTATGAATGCTGGTTCATTAACAGAAAGCAACAGATCTTTGCTTTCCAGATAATAATCGATAAAAGTAGCTGCTTCAACAAAATAAGCTGTGAAAAAGGTTTATAGTTGCTAGGATGTGTTTATTACCCTTGGTTAATTTCAAATTTCTTAGCGTGCTGTGCTAAATTAATTTACGTACAAAAAATTAGAAATCCTCCTAAAGGTGCATTTCTTAAAAAAAAAAAAAAAAAGAAAGAAAGAAAAGAAAAGAGTAGCTATAGTTTTTCTTTCTTTCTTTTTTTTTTTTTTTTGAGACGGAGGCGCGCTCTGTTCCCCAAACCGGAAGGAAGTGGCCAGATCTCAGCTCACTGCAAGCTCCGCCTCCGGGGTTTATGCCATTCTCCTGCCTCAGCCTCCCCAGTAGCTGGGACTGAAGGTGCCTGCCACCTCGCCCAGCTAGTTTTTTGTATTTTTTAGTAGAGACGGGGTTTCACCAGGTTAGTCAGGACGGTCTATAGTTTTTCTTATATGGAACTTTTTCAGTTTCGAAATACCAAGTATGTAATCTTTGCAGCAAAAAAAATTGGCAATAAATATCAAATGCCCTATATCCATAAAAAGATTTACACAACATGTCCACAGCAGACTGATTTTTAATAGTCAAAAACTGGAAACAACTGGAATGCCCATCATCAACAGGTGAATGATCATATGGTATATCCATACAATATAATTTTACTGCTCAGTATCAAAACAGAATACACACACACATGTGGAAAATAAACATGGATGGATCTCAAAATAATTACCCTGAGTGCAAAAAGCCAGACAAAAAGAAACATATTTTGTGTGTTTTCATTTGGGTGAAATTCCAGAAAATGCAAATTCATCTATTGTGAAAGAAAATAGATCAGTGGGGTTGCCTGGGGATGAAGGATGCCAAAGGGAGGGATTACAAAGAAATGCTATCTTAATTGTGATGATGGTTTCACAGGTGTACACATATGTCAAAACTTGTCAAATTGTATCTTAAATATGTGCAGTTTATTATTCATCAACTATACCTCGATAAAACTGTAACAAAAATTAAATGCCTTAACATGTTACATGTCCCTTCATGCAGCAATCCCATGTCTAAGATTTCTCCTAAATTTAAAAAATCATGGAGGATAGGTGTAAATATTTAGCCGTAAGGATGTTCAAAATACATACTATTATATTTGTGCAGTGCATTGTATACAGCCATAAAATGTCAAAATGAAAAAATAAGAAATAGTTAAATAAACTACAGTATATTACATCATGGAATATTATATAGTCATTAAAGTATTATACAAGAAAATTAAATTATATGAAATTATATACTATATTAAGTGATAAAAACAGGAAACAACATTATTTCAGCATAACTGAATTTTTGTTTTAAACAAAAGTAAATGCAGTAATTATTTCTGCATTTAGAGGTAATTATTATTTTTTCTTTTTGATTTGTATTTTCTAATTTCTCTACAGTAAATACATATTACTTTTCTAACAAACACCACAAATAAAATGATGCAAATAGGAAAAAACTAAAATTGTCCACTCCCTAATACAAGTACAAAAACTAAGAGGCAGTACACATTACAGATGTAGTTCTGAGCTATCGCACGGCCACCAGCGGCACCCTACCAAACAGCTGTGGGAAAGAGACAGGTCTGACACATAAAAGGGAGCATCACTAAGTGAGTAATGCTTTACCAGTTACAAAATGCTATCATGGACATGACTGTATTTGATCTTCACAACTCAGTGAAATCAGCAGAGATTCCATTTCACAGAGGAGCAACGGATGGTGAGCGGGGCTGGTTAAGTCATATGCCCCGAATTATAGACCTTGGACTCAATCAAACCTTGACTATAAATTCAGATAGGAATTGTACGAAGAGTGAGAAACAAACACTTGCCCTGATTATATATACCTAGAAGGATGTGATCACACATCAACTTAACAATAGCCATATTTGCAACTACATGAGTACTTCTATTAGAACGTGGTAGGGACCTTGGGAATTTCTTAAGTCTCCCATCTCCAATCTCTGAAGCAATACTCAAGGCACGCCCATCTTCCCGTTATCAACATTATCTACCAATTCACTGAAATTCCAGTAGAATTTAATTGTTCAGTTTTCAATTACCTTTTTTCCTTCTTGACAAAAAGATTATAATCTTTTATTTTACAGTTGGAACAATAAAGTAACCATAACTATATTTAAGAAAGCTGGCCGGGCATGATGGCTCACGCCTGAAATCCCAGCACTTTGGGAGGCTGAGGCGGGTGGATCATGAGGTCAGGAGATCGAGACCATCCTGGCTAACACGGTGAAACCCCATCTCTACTAAAAATACAATAAATTAGCTGGGCATGGTGGCAGACGCCTGTAGTACCAGCTACTCGGGAGGCTGAGGCAGGAGAATGGCATGAACCCAGGAGGCGGAGCTTGCAGTGAGTCAAGATTGCGCCACTGTACTCCAGCCTGGGTGACAGAGTGAGACTCTGTCTCGGGGGGAAAAAAAAGAAAGAAAGAAAGGAAAGAAAGAAAGAAGAATAAAAAAGAATGCTGCAAATAGTAATCTCCAAATTGATTACTGGAACTTCATTAAAATATGAACTTGTGGGCTAAATCTTTTTTTGGTCTAGGTTCATAGATATGAAACCCTACAAACTGGCATATTCTATAAAGAAAACTACCAACTCCTGAGAAGAGTAAAAGAGAATACCTTTAGAGGAACATTATTATTATCATTATTATTTTTATTTTTAGAGATGAGGATCTCGCTATGTTGCCCAGGCTGGTCTCAAACTCCTGGGTTCAAATGATCCTCCCAAATGAGCCTCCCAAGTAGCTAAGTGCACCACAGTGCCCACTTAGAGGAACATTATTAATGAACTGGTCATTATCTGTTGATGACACCATAAGGCATCCTTACAGCTCCTACTCTTACCAACACTCCCAGAACTAAAAGACTTAACAGGTAATGATAACTATAGTTTACTGAGCAATTACTATGTCTCAAACATAACAATCAGCCTTTTACAGACATAATCTTTAAAAAACACTATAAGGTGATTATTATTATCCCCAGTTTGTAGATGAGGAAGCTGGGTTTAAGTTACCCCAAGTCACAAAGCCAATAAGGGGCTGAGGTGGAATGCAAATCCTAATATTTTGGAAACAGACAGGGCCTTGGCAGTTCTCTGGAACATAAATTCTGATTTTTCTCTACTACTGTTCATCTACAATGGTCTCAATTCAGGTACTGCAAAACACTTGGCACTAGCATATCAACTTAATGAGCCTACATTTTCCATGTAAAAAGTTAAAAGTATTCCAAGCCCACAATTTGTATTTGATATTTTGTCACATTCTAGAATTGTTTATGTTAATGGTTGGTCTCTACTAAAACATTATTATACTCCTCCTTTTGAAACAAATATATGACCACACAAAAGATAAATTAAAAGAATATTTAAATAAAACCAACAAAAGTTAACACAAAATACACTACTCTAACATTAATACTCAAAGTTTTCCTATATTAATAAGTGGGTAAACTAGCCTTCAGTTCAAGTCAGTGAAACGGAATATGCCAGATGTGTTCTGAATCATGACAAAAGAAGCATGTCTAATTAATAAGAAAATTTTAAATAACTTCATCATATTATGAAACATTATACAATCTTTAAAATGCATGTTTTCAAACACATCTATTTTTTTTAATAATGTGGTAAAATTATCAGAATACAATGCTAAGAAAGCAAGATACTATTCATCTGAGTTGAACAAACTGCCAAACAAATTAGAAAGGCAGACGCTACGCTAGGTGCTGGAATTACAACATGAATAAGACAAACACAGTTCCCATGGGAAAGAGACAAGAAGGAAACAGAAAATAAAATAATTGAAGATTTCAAACAAAGCAAGAGGTAGAGAGGAAGCTACTTTACATAAAGTGATAAGGAAAAGCAAAAGCTTCTCTGAGAAAATGACATTTAAGCTGAGAAGGTCCTAGTCATACAAAGAATAAAGTGAAGAGAATTTCCAATAAAAGCAATAGCGTATGCAAAGGACGTGCCTGCTCAAGGAACTGAGAGATGACCAAAGTAGGTAGTAATGAGCAAGAAGAAAAATGGTAACAAATTAGGTCAGAGATATGAGCATAAAGTACGATCTCAAATATGTTTTTTAATGTGTTACCCCACACACATATACACACACCATACTGAAGGGACAGAGAACACAATGATAACAGTGATAATTCTAGATGGTAGGAAAAGGAGTTGGGGTTATTTTCCCTTAATATTTCCACATGCTCCAAAATAGGCTGCATAAACATTACAATGAGAAAAAATATGGCTAGAACTTCCAGTCCAGTGTTGAATAGAAGCGATGATGACAAACATTCATGCTTTGTCCCCATTTTACGGAGAAAAAAAATCCATCTTCCACGATTAATTATTATACTGCTATAGTATAATACAGCGGTTATTCCCTCCTCCCTGTGTGTAGTTTTTGAGTTTTGTTTGTTTGCTTTTATCACTGATATGTTGGATCCTGTCAAATGATTTTTCTGTATCTATCGAGATAATCATGTGAGTTTTTACTCTTTTATGTGGGTTTTTGGTCCTTTATTCTATTAATAATATACATTTTATTGTTTCAGTGTTAAAACAATCTTTCCTTTCTAAGGTAATTGCCTACAACTAATCTATCATACTAATGGTGAAAGACTGAGTGCTTTCCCCACCTAAGATCTGAAGAAGACAAGGATATCTGATGTTTACTCAGTGCAACAAATATAAAGACAGATAGATTGAAAAAGAAGTTAAAATTATCC